CAGAGGTCATTTGAAGTTCTAATTCATAATAAATCACTCCAGGTCAGACGCGTGTCAGATAGCTTTTTGAGATCGTTTGAGCCCTAATAGCAGACCAGTTTGTCTCTAGGAAGGCATTTGACGGTCGTTCTTAGTATAGATTCAGAAAAAGTTGAGTACCTAATCGATTCTGTAGATAAGGTTATACTTCTCGATAGTTTGTCAACATTAGCAAGTACTGATTTTATCTGCAGTACTTCAAAGTCCACAAACATCATTAATTCCAATTTGTCCAAAGGTTATTAAAGGCGTTATTAAAAACATTTCTATTATATCAAGTGAAAATTCATTGTGATCATTGTGTACAAAAATTTTTAACACACAACATAACGGGAGATACAGAACCTTTTTAATTTTGCCGTGAAAAGTAGTCCCATTTTAAAATGGTAATGATGGCTTGCGCGATCTAGGCATGTCATTTTTAATTATTTATACTTTGAAAAAGTCACCGAGGTGTCCGAAACGTGAGTAAAGTCATTCCTACATAAATGGTTTCCATTTAGCGGCCAGAAAAACATGGAATTTTAGAGTTCTCTATTGTCGACTTTCGTACAAAATTTTATATTTGTCGTACTTTTAACTTTAACTAATTACAGGATAAGCTAATGTAAAAAAATGCCATTTTGTCGTTTATAATTGTGCTAAAACGGCCCGCTTTCCAATCGGCTATTATACACATTACATAATCTGTGTATTCCAGTATAAAACGCAGTTGATGCACTGCTACTTGCCTTTCTGAATGCGACCCTGATATGATACAGTATAGTGGTCATTACGACCACTAAAACTGACGAAAATAGGCTGTGATTTGTTATCACAGCATGCAAGCTATGTCTAATAAGTTAAGCGGGGTCTTCATAACTCTTGTCGAAAATAGAAATTTTCACTATTGAACATTTTTGGAAATATCTCACAACAGCTTTTTGCTATTTGACTGCATGCGACATTGACATTCGCTTGACTTCCTTGGTGAAAAGTAGATTGTTTATTATTACTTGTGCGCCGCTTTAAATATTAATGCAGGACTAGTATTTGCGTGTTATCAAAAGAAAACCAAGACCGATGAAATCCCATAATAAACTAGATGTCAATTTCAGACTCGTTCATTCAAACTAAAGTGTTTATAGTGGCCTATCAGGTTTAGTAGTTCATCCTTGGTTAAAACTATAGGCGATATATACAAACTTGGATTCATACTTGATATACGAGGAGGAATTTTGAGGATACGCCATACATTTTTTTGGCATTTTTTATATATTTTTAATATGGCAAGCAAAATTTGTCTAAAATATACAAATAATCTTCTTGGGCTTGGCAGTTGATATGTTATCATTGATCCACTATAAAATGCCTGTTTCAGCATGCATGTTTTGAAATACCAACAATTAGAAACCTAGTTTTAATTTTTACAAGTACTTTTAAATGCAAATGCAAAGCTCTTCAACAGATAAAACTGTGTAGCCAGAATTGAAGCCTTTAGTTATCTTAATCAGTGGTCAAAATCTTGTTCACTAAAATTAAAGAATAAAAGACAAAGTAGGATCTCCTCAAACCTTGACTATATCAAATTTGTTTGATTATATCGCCCTTTTCACATGAATGGAATTTATTATATATGTGGAATTGAAGTTTTGGTATTGCAGATGTAGATCGTAATGATATTGAAGGTACCGATTCATTTTTACAGTATTTAGAGGTTAACGTTTTAAACCCATTTTTGGAACCATATTTTACTAGCGTGTAAATCAACATAAACAGATATAATTCTCACGAAAATAGAACAGAAAAACGTAATGTTGAAATTGCTAGACGGAATTCCTAAGTTTTTGGTTAACAATGTAGTACTGTTTCCATAGTTTATTCTAGATTTTGTTTGTGGACCAAAATCAGCATTTTTGCCTAGTTCTATTTTTTTAGTGTATACAGTGAGTGCAACATAAGAGTACTTTGAAAAAGCTTTACTGTGTATTGGTAGTCTTTGCGTTTATCAAGTACAAAGTGCAAAAAGAAAATTATTATTAGTATGATTATAAAACAATAGAGAACATCGCCCTTGATTTTTGTAATATTTTTATGAAAAATTGTGAAATTGAAAAAGTAAAAATATTTTCAGGTTTTGAATTATATTTTCATCGATAATGTTACTCCGACATCAAATAATAAATATTGTTCATGTGCGAGAGTCGGTAACAATTTTCAAAAATACTAACTGTTAAAAATATGCCCTAACAATGTTAATTGTAAATACTCTCATTTTCAAAGCGCTCTTAGATTTGTAGCACTACTCGTATTTTATTCCATTTATTGACAATAACATAATGCACATATTTTTTGAGGAACGGAACGTTTTAAGGAAAACTGCATTGAAATAATATCGTCAATTTAAAAGTCAATTGTCCATCTTCAATTGACTGTTCTTCCTATTTTTACGTAATACTCATATTTTTTAACTTATTTTTAATATTGACCATTTTCCTTATCACGTTTCAACACAAAAAATATCTGCTTAACTTCCTACCGTTGTTTTTATATTTGAATTTCTGGTATCAGTTTCCTAAGTTCCAGATCCAGTCACTACAGATAAATAGGTAGCGTTCTTTTGAATATATCGCGACATGAGCGATCCCTGAACTGATTTATGCGTAAACATATAAATGTCAATGTCAGGGATTGTCATGATTTTGGCTCTGGAAATATTGCCTCTGTTCCATTAATCACCTTGTATATGATTAGTAACTGACGGGGCGACGTCACCAAACCATCATTAGGTCGAAAAAATAGTTTAATTACGGTTGCTGGCGACGGCGTCAATTCCTTTCAGTAAGACATTATTGATTAACCTGAAGATAGCTAACCTAATTCTATATTCTCGCATCCCAAAAATTATCAGAGATAAAATGAAATACCGTAGCGCCATCTATGAGAAATTGTCACAGCTATGTTTCTCGACTCTGCAATAATTAGAGATCTACTTTGAAAATATTAGTGAATCATAGATGGCGCTGTAGCATAAATGCTGCATATATGGGTCTAATGGAGCTGAAATCTCAATCCTTTTTGACTTTAGATAAGCGCTACGGATTTAATATCCTAACGCCATCTGTGAAACAGTAGCATCACCAAACACTCTTTTCAAAGTCGATTGTTACATTCATATTCTGGTTCTATCTCATAAACGGGAACTATTCCAGAACTGCTTTAATTACGTGTCGTAGGTTTTATGTCAGAACTGCTTTGTCACTGGATACTGGCGAAGTCAGAACGATTCTGGGGTAGCTCGCTGTAAAACCCAAACAAGGCTAAAATGATTAAAATCATATCTCAATAATTCATACCAATACCATTTTTTCATATAGCGTCACAACGTTTTCTTTTACTTAAATTAGATATAGTTTTTTCGTGAAGTTTCCAAAAATAGGATATCAAATCAGTAAGTGGGAGGCGTTTAATACAAGGAACACAAGTTTAAAGCCTTCAACATATTTTTCATTCTTCAAAGACCAGTTAAAACAATCGATTATGACGTTGCCATTTTTGGTAGAGTTCATTGATGCTTTTTTAAATTGATTTGAAAAATTAGTTGACGTTTGCAGGTATGCAGTATACTTCCACGAATACTCTACACCTCATGCGACAACTCGATTTTTTTTCTTCACGTTTGTTGTATGCTCCTTAAGATGAATCTAGAAGTTGCAAGGCGATGATGCGGTGCCAGAGTATAGAAAGCATTCTTTTCAGATGAATAGATAACACACTAAGACTCTTTTTGGCTGAAATGTCAGTCAAAATTATATCACAATTACGTCAATTTTACAATTTCTAAATAATTAAGGGACTTAATAATATGATATTCCCGTATGATATTGGTGTTCTGTATTCTCTCCATTACCAACTCACTCCGATACTATTTTTATCCGCGATGACGTAGGATCGAGTGTGGTTGGAGATTAAACTAATTTAAAATTTGGAAAACCCTAAACACGTCATTAATACAGCTCTTTTGATGGAATATTCCATACGCTAGAAGCAGGCAACGTGACCCATAGCGCGTGATTAACAATTAAATGTTTCAAAATAAAATAAATTTGAAATACTATTCGAGGGCTTGTAGTAAAAATTAATTTAGACTAATCTCTAAAATAATTTTTAATTGAGTTGTTAATCATTGAATATGACTCTTTCAGACTTTAAATTACCTAGAACTGGAAAATAGTTATCTTTAGGGTAAAGTTACTAATTACTTTTTTTGTAGAGGAGGATCCTAAAATGTAAAAACGGAACAAAAATAACTTTTTGCAATTTATTTTAAGGGTCATGCAACAAACGTGCTGATGAAAAAAAGTTGAAAATGTTTTAGTACGAAAATGATGTTTTTTCTTCATCTAAATACTGTATTGACAGGATTTTTATCCAGTCTTCTGAGTTTGAACAACTTGTTAAACAAAGATGCTTTATTTGTGACTGTATGTAGTGCTGTAGTGATTGGATTTGTAAAGAGTGTTTTCACTGAAAAAAATCAACGCACATTAATTTGAGCAGCTAGTCAGTATTTTTGGTAGTGTGTAGCTTATTTCCGTAGAGCTATGGATTTTATTATTGTTGTACTACGATATAGGTGTGGTGGTTTTACGAATTTGTAAATAACTTGTTAAAGAAATATTAAGTGACTTATCCCATGGGAAATGAACAATTCTCACACATAGTTTATAGGGGCTGTGAATAACTACATTTTAACATCAGTATATTTATAGTATATTATGAATATTATAAAATAATAAAGTTGCATTTAGTAGAATTGTATAAGAAGAAATCCTGTTCTATATCTTATGTTATACTTATGTTAAAAACACTATTGTCAGTGGATAACCGGAGTTTTCTGAATCAGAATTATTATAATATATACATATATAGCTGAAACGAATATTATGGCTATATAATAAATACTGAATTTATTTCATTTCTAGGTGTAGTTTTACTGTTGTGCATATTATTTACTATCCTGACCAACACAAAACTCTTCCCAAGGTTCGTTTACTTTTTATTTTCTTATCCTTTCTCTGTTCTGTACATCCTGTGTCGCTTACCACATCAGCTACAAAAAAAAACTCAAAAACCGTTTCAATACCACTAAAATGCTTAAATAGCAATATTATATGAACAGTGTGCTTATGGATTTCAAGATACGTATTTCTTATATTTGAGCCACGATATAAGCCCTAAATACCTGTGAATACCGTTGGGCTATTATAGGGGTGACAGGGGAAAGCGAAGGGATCACACGACTCTAGCGGAGGAACATGTGTGCATGTTTCACAGCTTAGAAATCCGCCGGTGTATAAATAGTTCACTATACTACTAATAGTTCGGGCATCAGGCAGCAGCGGTGGCCGCGGTGGTAGTCGCCGAGCGCTGCGCGGGTTCGAATCCCATCCCAAGAGAAATTTTTCTCTTGGCTATAGATGTTGTGATTGTCCGTAGGTGGTAGACGGTCTCTGACTGTCGAACGCGGAGGTACCACCCGGCGGATTTCGTAGGCAGGGCCAGAATGTGTGCATGCTGCATGCACACGTGTTCCCTCGCCAGAGTCCGTGTGGCGTCCCCCCTTTCCCCTGTATCCCCCTATAGCCCCACAGTACCTCATTGTTTAGGCCGTTAGGCCTTCGTGGTAGTTGGAGTATAAAAAAAACTATACGTTTGTGTCGAACTGTGCCTCCACGTTCGATGGTCTGAGACCGTTTACCACCCACGGACAATCACAACATTCACAGCCAAGAAAAAAATCATTGAGGCTGGATTCAAGCCCGTGCTGCTCACCGTGACTAGGTTACCGCGTTAACCTATAGGCATCAGGCTGCTAGTTAACTGTCTATAGTCACACAAAGGAATAATATAGTTCAAACCTTAGGGGTTCTGAAGTTAAAAATATTAATAGGCTGAAATTTGGCATAGGAAACTATCAACCACTGCCTTGTTAAATTCCAGTCTGTTGTTAATTTTTCGGGGGGCTTATTAGATATGTTTCCCAAGTTTTATATCGTTTGACGATGATTTTTATTATTCAGCTAAGGGAATTTTCTTCCTTCTTTATCGCGACTGTGATGTCGAATTCCAAAAGATTTATAGCTTAGAGAGAGTGACCCCTATATTATACTTTTAACATATATTTCGATTCAGAAAAGTTAATATGAAAAATCCAATATTAGGGTATCATTTTGTGCATATGCAAACTAGCTTGAAGGATTCACGTTGAGTACTTTTTTGATTGTTTTGTGGTATTGAAACGGTTTCTAACTCGCATCAGCATTTTACGGAAAAAAATAACACGGAAAAGTCACTGTTCTTCTATAAGCAGTATCACCCAAAGGAGTTTTAATAGCTATTATGAAGGTAATTCTATGTGCTAATGTCTTACGAATCTAAGTACTTCTACAGATTTTAGTTCTTCTCCGAACTTTTCTTTCAAGTTTGCTTTACACAGGGTAAATACTCATGCTTTTATTTTCAGATTAGCAGGAAAACAAAACTTCGCTAAAATGTAACATTATTCTATTGAAAGACTAGTACGATTGGTATCACATCTGATGGGGAAAATATTCTAATTCGGATTTTTTTCATAATATTATTAAAAAAAATGCCCTCCAAAAATCGGTCCTTTAACTGCGATGATTGTGTTTTTCAAAAAATGTTTTTTTTTTTCAGTTGATAGTCTTCGAGATATACGCGATACAATATTTGAAAAATTGCGAAATACGCCATTTTCGACCCCGAAAAACAATATGCAAAACGAATCTTGCCGAGCTTCCTGAACATTCTTTTTCGGGGTCCAAAATAGCATATTTTGCACTTTTTCAAATATTGTATCGCTTATGTCTCGAAAACTGTCAACTTAACAGAAAAATTATAATACACCTTTTTTATTCAGAAGCCAAAAAATACTTTTACTGAAAAAAAATTTGGAACTTGTTTAAAAAAAATGACTCAAATTTGAGCCTGACAACATGCAGATTCATTAAGATAGCTTTTTTGTATAAGATTATGTAAAACATCTAAATCGATTTAAAGGCGTCAGTGTTTTTGTGTCGAATAATTTTTTTGTCATCAGATGGTTCTAATCATCTTTTTGTAATCTGGTTCCACCCATTCCGCAAAAATAAAATAAACAAAATAAGCTATTTGGCTAGAGATGTATAAAAAATGTTTTTTGAAGATTTTCTTGAGATCGAACGCACTATTTCATCGAATTTTATCATTATTTCATAAAATGAGTATTCCTGGTCATTGCTATTATGGATTGACCCTGTGTTAGTAAAGTTACAAGATTTATTTCAAAATTAGCTATTAAATTCTGTCGTATTAGCTAATCGCATTGCATGGCTGTAATTATGCTGAAACGACCCTGAATTAGTTTCGCCTTGCGCAAAAATAGCTAAGCATTAGCTAGTGAGCATGTAGCATGGTTTAGTCTCATTTGCAAGGCATGGTTTCCCTTTTATTCAAGCTAGAGCATGCTTTGAATCTGGCACAACACATATAGTGAGTACACAGGAATTTATTTTTACTTTAGCAATAAGAACACAAACTTATTTTGCTGACCTATAATAGCATGGTAAAGATAATTATATTTTCATATAAACTGAGCTAAAACCAAATACGGAGACACCAACGAAAACTATACTAATTTTAGATAATTTAAATGGATTGATATTCGTCAATGACTTGATATGGACAAAGTATTGGATTGGGAAATTTCAAATGTGTATTTGAAACATTAATTATACCCTATCCTTTACAATTCACCGAATAGTCCTTGTTTTTTCCCAGAAGAAATTCAAGGTTCCAAAATTATATAGTTTTACGAAACATATTCGTGAACTTGCTGATTTTTATATATTTTAGCGACAAACAGATGAATATTTTTCTCCTTGCATATATTTTTAAATTGTTACACTGATCTTTCTACCATAATATTTTGATGAAAATGCACTCGAGCACTTACAGAGTTTATCTTTTTCGTAAAAAATAATGCGAGATCTGTTTTAAATAGTGCAACTTTACTTACCTGGTTTCGATACTATATCATTCCACTTTGAATATGAACGAGATTTTTTTCCTTAATGCGTTTGGGGTCAGGTTGAAATTGAAGTATTTAATATTCATATTGTGGTACCGATTCTTATGTTACGTTTATCATCAGGATTTGGTGGTGCCATTTTGTCTATATCTGGTCATTTCAGTATTTTCACTTATAGAGTACTAACATAAATTAATGAATATACAGGACATATTCGATTTTAAAAGGAAAACGTGAGAATTATACTTATTAACTCAAAACCTGCTCGAAATTCTGTATATTCATTTGTCATTCGAACTACATATTGACAAACTGTATATTGGGTTCGAAAAGATCTTGCCAGGCTGTAAATTTTGAAAATCTTATGACGGAGTTTTGCCAAAATCCATGAAATAGAAACCAAGCAACATTGTTGATTGAACTCGGTTTTTCTTCACTTTATGAGATTTGTTGACTTGTAGTTCCATCACGAAGTAGTGTATAGGCATTGATTAACTTATTCTACCTGAAGATAGTCAATCTAATACTATATTCGAGCGTCCAAAAGTTATCCGAGACCGTATTAGATACCGTAGAGGCACTAATTAGAAATCTGTTTAGAAAAGGTTAGTGACTTATACAGGGTGACTTTGAAGTTGAGTCATTAATTTTCAGATAATGATTGTAGAAGGAAGATAAACCAAAATATGTGTGTAAAAATAAAAAAAAAAATTTACCTTGTTTTATAAAGTATCTTCCCGACAAGTATTTCAGTGCGGACCTGTATTTGATCGTGAGGTCTTGGAGCACCGGCATGCAGTCCCCTGTGAGGTCTTAAGTCACCTGATTCACGAGCCCGTTGTACTACATTAACAAAGGCACGAGGGGTTGGTTGCACTCGATTGGGAAACCGATCCGCATAAATATGTGCCATTTTTTATTTCGTTTGAGCCACGCAGCAAACACCACTATTCACTCACGCGTTACCGACTGACACAGACTGAATAAAAACATCGTGATCAGCGTTTCAAATTCTTTCGCTTTTTTGTTTCCGATGCGATGAACCGATAAGGCGCAGTATATCCGTTGTCGCCAAACACGAGCACATAATATTATTATTGAGACAGGGCGGTACTAAAACTTCTAAAGGGCTATAACTTTGTTACTTTAATTTTACCAGAAAAATGTTAAAAAAAAACATTTCTTTTGATCAGATCTACTCACTAAAATAAATGACTCAACTTCGAAGTCACCCTGTATATGGCGCTGTAGCCAAGTATATTAGCATATAAAATATATGTGTGATACTAGTCTTTTCAAAATACATTTCTAATTAGTGCAAAGAGGAGAAACAGCTGTTGTGATAAATTCTCAAGGATGACGCTTTAGTAACTCATTTCATCTCAAATAATTTTTGTGCGGGTAAATATAGTATCAGCCATCTTAAGGTAGAACACGTTAACCAATGCGATAAGTTAAGCGAAGCTAAATGAACTAATTTTCTTTTTTGCATGTGTGTAGGAAATGTCCAGAATGAATGATGCTGGCGCAAAACGTTTAAATTATCCACAAGTTGTGCAATAGAAGAAAAATGGAGTTTCAAAAATCTACGTGACTTACACGTAAATGAGGCGAATGTATATTATTTCTAAAAATACTTTATTGAAAATATTTGTAATTTGCCAAAGAAAATTATATTGTACTTATAATAATTTAAAAATATCTCTAGGATCAATATGGTATTTTTTGCACATATTCGCTTTTCTTTTAAATGTCAGAGCTTATGCTGATTTTTATATTTTTGATGTGTATATATTGTAGCTTACCTCTACTGTTTGTTATTTTTTATCATGTTCAGTAAAAACTCTTTTTACATTTATTTTTTCTGTAAAAAATATACGACCTAACTTTAGATAAGTTTGTATTATTTCTCATAAGATTTTTTTAAATATTTAAGCTGCTAGAAGCGTTTATAGTAACGCAGTCAAGGAGTCGGAGCTTAAATTTCGTAGTATAGCAACCGTTATAAAGATATGAAATAATTCAATATATTTCAGAAAGACGTGCCAACATTTCTAGGGTAGAAAGAAAATCCACAAATAACAAAAATAGTTCTCGTATAAATATGGGTCCAAAGATGCTTCCTTACTGAGTACAGAGTGATGAAGGTTTATTTAAGAAATTTAAAAAAAAATTGCTATGAAACGGGTAAAGATACTGCGTTTCCTGGCCCAAACTAAACCAGAGACGTAGAAACGGGTGCCTGGACCCCTAATAGGAAATACTTTCTGCGCCACTGACCTTTTCGGAGAAAAGAGGTGCATTTTATAAAATACCATTAAATTTAAGGAATTTTTGTCAGACCACTAGTTTTGGAGATATTTAGGTTTGAATATTTGAGGTGAATTCTTCATTCTTATGAAGAGGTTTAGGCTACCCGATTCGGAAAACACAGTGAAGCTTGATATTGGAAATAATACCTCATTACAACATTCATTAAACCTTATCTATGCATGCTCCTGGTTTTCATTGTATACTTCTCCTGGTATCACCCATGTTAGATTCTTGTTTGTCTAAAATCACAACTAGTAATTGTGGAACCAATCAATTTGAGTAAAAAGCTTTTTTTACTTCTGAAATTATGGGCCTTTTTTTCTCAAAATTCTTTAGCATTTCGGATTAAGTGAGCTCAACAAAGAAGATATCACAAATGGTTAGCAACCTCGGACAAGAAGATTGAGGACGAAGCTCACAGAACGCTTTCAACACTGTTCCTACTACTCCAAGTATTTTCAAAAGAGAATTTGTGGCGAAGAGCACGGGCATGTATTGAATCCAGAGGAGATCACATCCAACACCTCCTTTAGATTGGATGTTGTAGCATAAATTGTGAAATAACCACGTGAGTTGTAGCAAATGTAATGTTTACTGGCGTGTTTGATTCTTACTAGTCATATTTGTTTATTTTTAAAAGAAAAATTTTCTTTGTTTTAAAGTTTCTTTATCTATAAACAAAAATGAATATACCTACAAAACTAGTGGCGTGCACAGGGAAAGTTTAAGGAATAATAAGCTTCTACGCTAGTGATTGAGGATATGGCACGCATATTATTCAAGTAATGTTGTGATGAAGTGCCATAGCTTTCTTCGCATGCCGTATCGTGTGTCCAATATCAAGCTTCACGGTGTTTTCAGAATAGGGGAGGCTAAACCTTTTCATATAGTCCAGTTAAATAGCCGAAACTTTATAATTGTTGGGCCATCAAAAAAGGTCTTTGCGGGGACAAGGGCCAGGCGTACCTGCCGCCGCACCGTCCACGCGTTGACGACGCCGACGATCTCTTACAACATGGTGGGGGTTATTCAGTAATAGTTCAGTTCAATTTCGAACCCTGAGCTCGCTTGTCAGTTTGACGTTCACCGACTTTTCCGAATGAACTAATTTTCGAAGTTTATGCGTTTAAGTAACTATAGTAATTACTCTTCAGTTGCTTACCGATTGACTGGATAAGTGAGGTAAGTGCATTTTAGAATTGAAGTTAAATATTTTTTCTGTATATTTCATTGCAGACAAGAAATTATGGACAAACCATTTATCACATGATGCAAGAATTTGTTATTACATTTGATACTTTGCATTCCGTACATACAAATAAAAGCAATCAAAGTGATTCTATTGTAGGTTTCATTGGCTCAAGTGAGGGTTTTTGTACAACTGTATATGAAATGTAAAGTAACAAATGTAATACAAACATATTTGAACACAAAAATAATTCGTCATACTCTATCAAAGTAGAACATATAAAAAATGGTGTAACTTCCAATTAACGGTTTGTACATAATTTCTTAAGCCCATTGAAATATAAAGAAATAATGTTTAATTTCAACTCTGAAATGTACACACACACATACTTATAGTCCTTCCATTATCAATAATTGGAAACGCTAAAAATCCCTAAACCGCACAAAAAAGGTGTGAAGTCCTGTGCAGATAAGTTGTACAGCAGAGTATACGTGTCTACACATCACGTCTGTCTACACGTCACGCAAACGTACACCGATACATTGAGACTAGGACTAGATCAATGAGCATCATTATTGGTTTCCGCAGCGAGTCTGCATCGTCAAATGCTCATCACCATCGGTCATTGTCTATTCTTTGCGCGGCTCAAGAACTGCTAAATTTCTGATCATGGTCGTAGATCAACAACTACCGGTAATCAAACTGATTTGCCAGAGATTATGAAAATCACGTGGAGTATTTTGATGACTCATTGGGCTTCTACATCCTATAATGTATTCTCATCATGGCCTCTCATTTATATACACGTTCACACCTTTTTTGCAGCTCTAGGTTTTTTGTCGTTGTTCCAATTCTAAATGAAAATACTATACCTCACTTGACCAGTCAATCGGTAAGCGGCTAACGAGAAATTACTGCATCTTATACTCTACTTAAATGCATAAATATCACAAATTCATTGATATGCATAAGTCAGTGAACGACACAACTACAAACGCGCTTATTCGAAACCGACTGGCCTATCACTGAGAGTGAGACACTGAGGACATCCAAATATTGAAAGAGGATCATCCGCGTCAACGGTGTGGCGGCTGGTGATATGCGCGCCCTTGCCCCCGCAAGCCCCGGACTGACGAGCTCTCAACAGGCTGTAGCGCGAAAACTAAGCAATTTAGCAAACAATTTGCAGACACCTTTTTTGTTGGCCCAAAAATTTGAAAAATGTAAGTGTAAAAAAATCCCAGATATCCTCAGGCGTTTCAGCGAAAAAGAGTTTTTTTGTGTTTTTCGCTGTTTTACAAAAAAAACGGCTGGTTTCCGGAAAACCAAACTCTTAACGACGATATTCGCAAGCCTTTATTACACCATTACGCCAGCGGACATAACTTTGTGGCTAGGTTATAACTTTTGCGGCAGTTTCGGCTATTTAACTGGTCTAATAAGAATATTAGGATTTCACAAATATTCAAACCTAAATATGTATTTCCAAAACGAGTGATATTCATCCTGATGACATTCGCAGAGCGACGAGTCTTGTTTATGAAGTAAGAAATGCTCTCCATGAATTCCTCAAGTACTCCTCTCTGGAAAGTGGCGAAGTCGCTCAGAAACGGAAAGCGAGAACTCCCGCACATCCACGGTCCTGGGGGCATAGTCTTCAGGACACAGGACAAGGTCGAGGTTTTCGCTGATGCTATGGAACGACAGTTCTCTCTCAACTATGATCTTGAGTGATTCTTCCTCAGAAGATTCTTTTTCGGAAGACTCTTTAGCTGAAGAGTTGCACAGCACATCAGCGGCTTCTCCGAAATCCCGCATTGCACACCAGCAAAGCTTCAAGGTCATATTAAAGACCTCAAGGTGCGTAAAGCGCCTGGGGAGGATCAAGTCACTAATGAGGCGCTGAAGATGCTTTCACGGACGTCCTTGACTCATCTCGTGACTATTATCAATGCCATGCTAAGGACCCAGTACTTTCTATCGGCGTGGAAGACTGCGGAAGTTATAATGATTCCAAAGAAGGTGGGTTCGATATTTCCTCAAGACTATCGTCCCATCAGCCTACTGTCTGCTCCGTCTAAGCTCGCTGAAAAGCTGATTCTACATCACCTTGCGAATTTCTCGTCAGATCACCATGTGATTCCTGACGTGCAATTTGGATTTCGATCTGAGCTTAGTACGGAATTACAGGCGGTTAGGCTTGTGGAGCGAGTAACCAGGGGCTTCACCCTTAACGAAAGTACTGGCATCTTGCTTCTGGATGTCTCGAAGACATTTGACAAGGTGTGGCACAAGGGCCTTCTCTATAATTCAAAAGGGCTTCCCATTTTGGCTCCTAAAACTTTTGAAATCCTTCCTTGAAGGTAGAAAATTTCGGATCAAAATTAATAATTTCTTGTCGACAGTACGGTCCATCAGAGCCGGCGTCCCTTAGGGTTCGGTTCTAGGGCCAATCCTTTACTCACTTTTCACGCATGATGTCCCCTGCCCTAGCGACTGTGAAGTCTATCTATATGCTGATTACACTGCACTGGTGGCCCAGTCGCGTGCCGGGAATCTGGTTCACGACAGGTTACAAAGTGCGGTGGATGAGGTATTGGAATGGGCAGATCGGTGGCTAATCAAAATTAATTACTCGAAAACGCAGGCTATCTATTGTACTAAAAAACCTAGCGGCGCCCCGTCTGAGGTTTCAGAGGATGGAGCTCGCATACCATGGGGAAATTCTGCTAAGTATCTCGGTGTCACTCTTGACAGGGGGATGACCTGGCAGAAAGTCAGTTAAAAACTAAATTCCAAATAACGTTTCGGCAACTCTACTCTTTACTATGTAGAACCTCAAAAGTAAGTTTGGTTAACAAAGTTCGGCTATACAAGATGGTTATCAGACCAGCAATCACTTACGCATGTGTAGCACGGTGTTTTCTTGCCAGAACGCATATGCGTAATCTGCAGGTTTTGCAGAACAACAGAACCTTGCGAACCATCACTAACGCACCATGGTATGTCTCCAACGAGACCCTTCACAGAGACCTCGACATCCCTTACCTAAGGGACTACATCAAACATCAGGCGCAGTTACGTTATAGTCAAGCGGAATCGCACAGCAACCCTCTGTTGCGTGAGTCAGTAGACCACACAGTCGAGCAAGTTCGCAAGCACACAAGACCGCGGCTCGCACTGTGATCAAAATCAAATCGTGCAATTCTAGATCCAACCAAAATTACGATTTTTGCCACACACAAATTCCTAAATTAATTTAAAATAACCGAATACCAGTGAACAATAGCAACGCATCCCTTTAACCGGCGCACTTCACCCTCTTTGCTCTTCCCCCTTCCTTTCTTTCTCCCTGACTTCGTCTGGTATCTGGGCAACCAGACCTGACAGACCTACGATACTTTAACAACGAGCGAAGGTCCCACGGACCGCTCTGACGGATAATGATGAATAGAAGGAGTGATATGCAAAATTTCCTTAAGAGACAAACTTTATGAAAGTGGAGTAGAAGGTATTTCCTGCTGTGGTGCAGGTAACCCAGTTTATACGTCCGTGGTTTAGTTTGGGCCGAAAAACTATGCGTATATTGCTTATGATGTGCTCACTGAACATCTAAAATCTTAACTCAGTAACTTAATCTTTTTTTCAATTTCGTAAATAAAAATTGATCACCCTGTATCTCGGTAGAGGGGCATTTTAGACCCATAATGGATGTTATCTTGTTATTTTTGGATGTACTTTCTGCCCTAGAAAGATTGGCACACCTTTCTGAAACACCATGTATATTCACTTTTGGAACATTAAAAGTGTCTGACCATTGATTAACGTACTTACCAAGAAGATGTCCAACCATATGTTGTATCTGGACGTTCACTTGAAATTTCTACCGTCAGCCTTCTTACCAAGTAGGATCGCAGTGATTCCCTTAGAAATAATTGAAACAGACGTTTTCCTTCTAAAGATTATTTATTCTTAACCCTTTGCTGCCTACTTGATTTCTGGGATGATCACCAATTCATAGTCACTTTACTTGATAATTTGACATAGTTCAAGACAAAGTTACATATATAGTGTTTACTTTTTTACCGAAGGTCGTTAAAAAGCCGTAAAACCCGAGAAAGCGGCTTCTCTGTACATCGTCTAAACACACCCGCCAGCTTGTGGAGGTGCGGGCCGCGGGAAGGTAGTCGGGCTAGCGGCTTCGAGTCGCCAGTAGGTTAAGTTATAGCAAAGTCAAATTATGTGAATTTTTTTCTATACCCGTATCGAAACAATGCGATTTATTTTAGATTTGCTACATTCAAAGGATTCTATAGTGAAAACCAAAATTGTCCGATTTGAGTTCAACCTGCCGCATTGCCAATATGTTACACCAGAAAATGTTCGCACAGGCTTCTACAATAGGTTAGATTACTATCTAACCCAAGAAGGAGGTCAGTTCGAGTATTTGACATTTTGATTAGAATTTTTTACTTCAATTTTGAAGCGAATTAGTGTTTTAATTTATTTTATAATTACCTTTGATTTCCACCGATGGTGATAAATCAACACATCCTGAGTTTTTGTTACATTTTGCGACAGCGTTACGGTCGAAAAATATAACAAATAAAACGTTACGCAATATAAATTATCACTGTCTGCGTGTACGCAGGTGAAAGCCATTTCAGAGCCGAACGACACTGACGGTACTGACAAAATCGCAGAACTATGATCATGGAGGTGGAAACCTTGCAATGGAATGTACAAGATGCGGTGTTATCAAATGGACCATTGATGCAATGTAGCACAATTTGTGGCGATCCTGACCTTTTATTTCGACCTAAAATGGAGCACCGAGAGGACCGATCGGAAATCAATCCTAGACAGATTCGACACAATTAAAAAATGTGTACGCTCAAAATAAAACCATTATTTGGATGTAAAAAATAAACTAACGGATATTTTCAAAATGCATTTTAATTCAAGGAACTGGTGTAACATAATTGGCAACGCGCGTTGCTAGGCAACGCGGTGATGAGCGTCGCTATTCAGGCGGCTTCTATCTCTTTCTAAAATGTGTGTCTATACACACTTCTCTCTCGTACACATTGATCTCAAGCCGTCAGACAAATTTGGTTCTCAGTTTATAAGTGCCTCCTTGATAATGTTAGTGACGGATGACGTCTTTCAAACTGGGTAATTATTACAATAGCAAAGGTAGGTATAAAATTTTATTATAAACAAATGCTTATCCTGCAAAAAATAAATATAACCAAACATCGTCTGTATACATTGGTGTAAAGAACCCAACATTCATCTGCAACTCTCCATAATATATATCTAAAACAGTATTTCCTAATTAATTTCCAATTCATTTAAAACATTAACTGTTTGCATTTTATGTTCGGTATGTAGATTAACGTTTCTTTATTCAGAGTGTTAACAAAGGCTATGACTGTTCACGACGAGAATTTGTGACATTTGAAGTCGTTTCATATTTCTGTTTAACCTCATCTGCAAGAAGGTACACTAATACAAAAAATCTCACTGTGAGAGAAATTAAAAAAACTGACACTGCTAATCGTGTATCCCTACAGTTCAATCGAAAACGCCTTTTCAGGGAAAAATGTGTCCTAATGCTACATTTTGTCATCAATGTTGACCAGTTAATCTGAAATTGTAGAATTCAGACTTGTAAAAATGACTTGATCACAATTGTGCATTAAGATTATGCATAACACGTGTATATAAACGTTCACTACTCGTAGATGAAAACAATCTTGGCGATCATAAATGTATTTGGATGTATATGTAAGAGCACTCCCAGTGATAAATTCTAAAATATACAAATTCAAATATCCAAAGTTTTAGTACAAACCACGAGTATGCCCAAACATACATGCAAAATGAACAATTAAATAATAAAAATCACATCATACCAACCCGCCCGTTTCCGCGAGCCCAATGCTTTGTCAATTGTACTATGAATGTATGAGTATGCACATCATGTACCTTTAAAATTAGACAGCCTATCATGGATAGTAGAATTGACAACTTCATGACAATGACATCAGGTGCTTAACCTAGCATTGCGCACAGTGTTGCCAGGTTTACTCGCTAAAATAGTGCCTTCTTCGACTTCGACAGTAGTAATGTATTATATCAGTCTAAGGCACCATCTGACGATTTTCGAATTACTGCTTCGTTTCAGAGATTCAGATGCCTTTAAAGAACGCCATTGGAAATCGGTTTTCTACACATGACTTGAACCACGTATGATTTTTTGACAGCCTCACACGATGATGCCCACAGACAAAACAATTGAGAAAAATAAAAGAACCTACTGTGGCAGTCTGGTAAAAATAAGTAGCTGATCCCGATCGGCATGGGCGCCCTTTAGCAGTAGCTAAAACCCAATGTTTATGGAAAGATTGATTCTTTATCCGAAATAATACTCTTCTTTGATTTCGATAAAATGAATTGTTTTTGAGGAAAACAGTCCCGTTCCAATGCTTCTCCTATCGAATTCCACAGCAGGCAATCTCTAAAAAGTAGACTACAGCCTGAAACTTGGTAAATTGATCTAAAAGTTTGTATACAGGGATTTCTCGGCGCGCTGATTGCGAATATGTTATTAAGCAAAGTTAGTATATTTCCAAAATGGCGATACCAGTAAGGTTAAACAGTACTAAAAGAGTGTTTTTTCTCAAAAACGGATCATTTTGACTGAATCAAACAGGGTGCATTATGTTTGAGTTATTATTATACGGGGAATAAAGTAATTTAACAATATTGAGTTCGGGCTAGTTCGTCCTTGCCGATCTAAATATGTTATTTTGTTTTCTTGGACACCATCAGGTGATGCCTGAAGTAACTACGATACTGTTAAAATTTTATTGGATTATACAAGATCGTCAAAAGTTATTTAAGAAAAACCGAGATCTAAGCAGTATTTCGCAAACAGTCAGAGCACAAAATAGTCTTAGAATAGTCCAAAGAATTACCCTTTTTCAAACACCCTATACAATGTTATCCAGTGAAAAAAATTAATGTTCATGGATCATGATTACAGTTACTGACTGACTGACAACCATATAATCTTTCATACTAGCAATACCACTGATTTGAGTGAAATACAAACACAAACCAACCCTTTGTTACACTTCCCCAAAATTAATATGACCTGTAGCCGCGGCATGCTGCCTCGCTTCCGCTTGTCCTTTCAGCCCTTGCTGGCAAACCATACAACGTAACGTGAATTTTTCCATGTCTGTATACTGCCTGCTAGTATTTGCTTCTTGCGCTAACTGTTCTGCCTGTTTCAATATACCCGTATCTTCAGTCGAGAAAATTGTGCGAATCATACTACCCTGGAAGAAAAATGGATTTCACTGTTCATTCAAGCTATTAGCGTTGATTAACGTATTCTTCCTGAAGACAGCCAACCAAATGCTATATTCGCGCGTTTACATAATTACCCAAGATGAAATGAGATACTGTAGCATCATCTATGAGAATTTGTCACATCTGTTTCTCTATTTACTATATATACTTTGAAAAGGTTAGTATCTATGAGATACTTTTGTTACACCGAAGCAGCCGCCCAGGCAGAAGCTTAAATGCCAGGGCACCGCAGCTGCTATAAGGATCCCGAAGAAACTTTGTTAATCTGATTTTTGAACTGCCTAAGATTAGTAGAACTGGGAAAAGCCTCCTCTTGTAGCTTGTTCCACAATCTCGACACCCTAGGTCGTTTCGGCCAGTTCTGGATATACTAAATTCGACACGGTTAGCATGGGAGGCCGAAGTCAGGCGGGTCTGCGTCGCAGACAGATTGTGCGATTGCATCATGGAGAAGAGCTCTGAAAAGCAAAGTTCATTGGTGTAGCGGCATCATGGAGAAGAACCCTGAGGAGCAAATCCCGTTAGTGTAGCGGTAGAAGAGAACAAGTTCGCCGACGGTGCGAAGGGGGGTCCCGAGACTGTGTGTTAGAGAAGAGTCATCGATCAGTCGAACAGCAACGAGCATGGATAATGTAGTCGAGGCAGCAGCACCCCAAACATGTGACCAATATTCGAGGATAGGTTTTATCTGTGCCTTGTATAGAGTGAGGAGGTCATGTGGGGAAAAGTACTTCTTAGACCTGAACAAATAGCCTAGCTTTTTTGTGATCTGGTAGAACTCGGTTATGCATCGAATCAGCACTAGGACGCTTTTTCTTCGTTTGTTGTTATTTTAGAAGCATTAAACTGTACAAGATTGTTGCATCCCCAAGCAATGATAATCTCTCTCGTCAGAGAGGAAGTCGCTGCTAGTTTTTTTTCCAGCTCACCGACAGATATCGGCTTGACACTCCGAATTTATATTTTGGACGTGCGAATATAGAATTAGGTTGGCTATTTTTAGGTTGAATACGTTAAGCAGTGCTATTAGTCGGTCTTATAATCAAACAAACTCGATTTCGAGCGGGGTTCCGTTGCTTTTGCATTCTCACCCCAAGCAACTGCTAAACAACTGACAGGCTCTTTTTGAGGGTATAAGTGCAGCCGCTGACTATACAAATACAATAAGAACCAAATTTGTCTGACGGCTTGTGTTCAATATGTACAAGAGAGAAGCGTGTATAGACACATATGTTAGAAAGAGATAGATGCCGGCTGGATAGCGAAGTTCGTCACGGCGTTGCCTAGCAACTATGAAGTATTGAATTTTGAATTTTGGAATAATACATCTGTCTCTTCACAATGTACTCTGTATGGGTATTCCATTTTAAGTGTTTAGCGAATAAGTATTTTATTTTATCGGCTGACTGACTCTCTTTGAGACCACTGCTTGTATGAAATTCAAGTTTTTTTAAATTGTGGTGAGAGCCTATCGTTACAAAAAAATGCTATATAGTGTGTTTTGTTGTAATTAATTGTCATAGTTCTTTCCAAAAAGAAATTTATAAATGTTTTGAAGTATTTTCGACTTTGGTTTTTAGCATATGCCACTAGTTACGTTCATAGAGAATAGCTGTATCATCCGCAAAACCAATAACTTTACCTGCACTACTTATTTTAAACAAATCATTGATAACTAGATTAAATAAAATAGGTCCTAATACTGTACCTTGAGGTACACCATACGATACGATATGGGGGTCACCAAATGTATCATTAATTTTGATGCACTGTAATAGAGTCGAATGCCTTCGCCAATCTGTTTACTTAAATCCTATTTCTAGACTAGATACTTCTAGAAGGCCATTAATTCTATTGGCATCAATTCTAAACCAGCATAAAAATTTGCAAAATGTATCAATAACTCAGGATGTGTTTATTTTATCATAATCAGTGAAAATCAAAGGTAATTCTGAAATAAATTAGAACATTTTAGTTGTACCAAATTTAAAATGAATAATTCGAATCAAAATGAAAACAAAATATTAAATCAAATGTTCGAACAGACCTCCTTTTGGGTTTCACAGTATAATCAGCCAGCTTCTATCTCTTTCTAACACGTGTTAGTACATACATCGAGAGCTTCTATCCCATACACATTGAACTCAAGCCGTCAGACAAATTTGGTTTTCCCTGAATGTGCCAAGTCCAGTTGGTGGTCTGCACAAAATCCATTGTAAGCATTTTATTGAAACATTAAGATCAATGTATTTGCCAGTGTTCTTTCTACAAGTAACACCAATGCATCAACATCTTTTGGACATTTCTGGTCTCATCTTTACTTCAAATTGTTAGGGAGGGACATTTTGAAGGTATATTCATATGCTGAGTACCTTAAAACATTACTTACATCAGCTGGCTCCAAATATAGGGGGTCATAGTGAATACCATCGAACATGAGGAACACCCTGTGGGGATAATCCTTATCTTCTCCAAATCTATTTATTATAGCATTCATGGTGTCTGCCACAGCTATTTCAATACCATAGTAGTTTGATAGAATTGCCAATTCTATAGCACCACCCCAAGATCTATCGTCTTGGATCCAAGCACAGTAGTCATCTACAGGCTTACCTAAGATACCAATATTGTTTTTAAAAATACAAATAGCAACAGTCAGCATATCATTATATATATATATAAAGAGAAAATTATCATGCGGAGAAAGGTATATAACAAAAATAGGAAAATAATGGGCAAAATCCGCAAAAAGTGGATTCAAGCAGAAAATAGGATAGTTAACCCGCGCGATACGTATTTCTGCTGGTTGGCTTCATCAGGCTTCATCTCTTTATAGATCCTTTGGGCTTGAAGTACCACAGCAAGTGGCTATAACCGGCCTCGTGGTTGTGGTTATTTGTTGCCTTGAAAATTCGAGGTCTTCTAGCCATTTTATACTACAATTTGTAGGTTGGCTCTTGTTGTGGACTTCGTGTGTCTTTTTCTCTTCCTCTCCATCTTTGTTTCCTCAGGTTACACCCGTATCCGGATGTATGGGCATGTGTCTCTACTTTTGTAGTTGCATATGTGCATTCATTTCGGGCCTGATGAAGCCAACCAGCAGAAATACGTTTCGCTCGGATTACCTATCCTATTTTCTGCTCGAATCTCATATTAATACTATAATATAAAATTTACAACTGTACAGTTTCTTTCAGGATACTTGATCATTACATTTTGGCATTGAGGTGAATAGGTGATCAGCACACTTAATATCACACTACATCTCTATATTAAAGTCTCTACTGTTAGCAGCATGAATCAGGTGCAGCTTGGGATCTTATTCAGCAGGGCTTGTGCCAAACACTGGTGTTTTTTTTCACATACATACTGTCAGTGACTGGCAATTTTGACAATAAAATATCCAAAGTACAAAACTGGCAACAATTGTCTATAGATGTGTCATTGACAGATATGTCAAGATTCTGTATTACCAGCTGATATGGGGTGTTTTGAATTGTTACTATGTAATCAGCTGTTATTTGCTGTTACAATTATAATATGAATTAAACCAAATTCAGATGCTGTTATAAATTTTATAGAAATGTTTAAAAGCAGATTACATAAAACTTGACAGGCATCAAAATATTAACTCAAAATTTGTGGCTTGAAAGCTAATTAATCTGTGGTTTCTATTAAACTCACGTTTTCCCATATTTTGTTTTGTACAAGAAAACAATTATTGTGTTTTTTTAGCAGCATATGTTTGAGCAGACTCGGAAGGTAAAACTATAATTAGTTTTTTAAATAGTAAGCATTATTGGGTATTTGGTGTGGAAGCCAAATATGGCTATAGTTACGGCTATAGTTACACGTTTTTTCGGTCAGCGGTTCAGAAGAATGTTACCTCAGACTATGCATTTTTTAAATTCTAGTGTTATTCTAAAAAATATAGCAAAACTATTACTCATGGAATTTTATCAATAACTTCCGTCAGATTGCCTGGATTATTTATATTTATTTTATCTATTTATTTAGTAATCTACATACAGGTACAGAGATAATCTCCAAATATCAAATTATCTATTCATGAGTGCAATATTCCTTCTGAATTATTCTAAACTATAACTAAACAAATCTATTTAATTATAGTACATATTATAGTTTTTCACAAGTTGATCACTAAAACGAAGAGAACCACAGTTTGTTTCACTCCTAGAAATGTGAAACTATCTCTCTGACAACAAGAAAAAATATCTGTGATAACAGGAAGATACAGTAATTAATTACTAATTAGCTTAAATAGGAATTTTGTTGATGCATGTTTCCTGCAAAATTCTAGACATTTCAACCCAACTAGTTGTATGCGCATCTAATATGGCAGTATTGGGATGCAAATTTGAATAAAAAATTTGCAAATTTATTTTGAATTCTTTCGATACATTGGATTTGATATTGGTACAAAGGACACTCATATAATGACTTAATTACTAAAGTTTTGTGAAGCCCTGAACATACACAATGTTAGTAAATTAGAGAAATGTTCCACCTCTTCCAGGGGATAATCACTGATACTGATACTTGGTGAACCAATGCTGAATCAATGGAATTTATGTTTAATAAAACACCATCATCTTAAGGTCATTAAAATAAGAACTTGAAAAATCATTATCACAAAATGAAACATTAATAGATAATAAGAGGAGGATTGGGCCCAAATAAGAGCCCTGCAGCACACAAGATGAAATTGAATGATGAAATTACAAGACTGGGCATCAGCCATTTTCACACACTGTTTGCAGTTTATGAGGAACTAACTAATCCAGCATAGATACACAAAAATTCAATCTTGATCATATTTTGCAAATCTAATACTGTTGTAAGCTCTTAAAAAGTAAACCTATACCTTTTTTATGGTTCAATCAAATTCAATAATTTAAATAATTGGTTTACATGCATGTATAGTCTATTCTATAGCAACAATAAAATATAACAATGCATATATTAGACATGTAATGACACCTTTTTTTTCTTCATCTTTACTGAGCTTACATGCATGTGAAAATAAAGAAGCTTCAGACCATTAACTAATACAAATAATATTATGTAAAACAAAGCAATACCAAAGTTACATAATAAGATGGTTAAAAGTTTTAAAATGTTAATAGAATGGAATATGAGTAGTTTCAGTACAACTTATTTAGTGTTTTCCATAGTAATTAATATTCAGACTAAGTTTTGTTTTCATAAAGTCCCCTATCTAATAATTTTTTGTGCCCTATGCAAGAGATAACATGAGTTTAATATCAAAAGGCGATTATTCCTTTGAAGTTCAGGCAGCCAAGCAGGCCAATTTTAGATATGGATGAGGGAACACTAAGAAATATATTTTAACGTTTTACTGCAGCTAACAGTATGTCAGCTTAGATTGGATGAAATTGTTTTAACACAAAAATTATTAAATATATTATAATTACCTAGTACTGCTTCATCATATAAAAACCTTTCAGCATTGATAGTCTCAGCAACAAGTTTCCTCATGTAAGGTGCAACATTAGTACTGTCATCTACTTTACCATTTAGTACAAAATTTATGCTAGTAAATAAACACGAGTTGTCTGCAGGCACTACTTGTTTCATTAAAATCCCTGAGGAATGGTTCTCTACATCAGCATGTTCAGTAGTTGCTTCTACATTTGTTGTTGTCTTAGGAGGGCTGGGTTCAATTGTACTAGGGGGTGGCACTGCTTGGGGTGGCTGTTCCTGTGGTGCCTTTTCTTCTAAGATTAAAGTATCACCGGAGGTAATTCCACTACTGTCTAGACTCAAATTATCCTGGGAAATGTCCAGTGTTTTGGGAGGAAACCCAGAGAGCACGTGGAGTCTTTCTAATGGGATATTGGATATGCTGGACAGCAGCTGCTTCAGTTCCTTCATTGTACTCTGCTTATTTAGTGTATTTACCACTTGCTGGCCACTTTTAGTTTTCACTCTTAATGCTATGCTGGCCATTATGTCTACTCTTTCACACTCAAATTGGTTTGTTGACTTTTTTGACCTCAAATACAAAAATCTACCTTCCCGACTTTTTTTATTTACTATTATCGTCCTTGACATCGGTTTACGTCCTTGTCAATTTTTCGTTCGTCTCATCGTCCCAAAGTTCGTCCCTTTTGAACGTCAAATGTAGAGATCTTATAACATACAGAAGTAAACAATTGAGATAGAAAGACAAGTGTATATATCCGCCATTTTCCTACCAAGGGTTATACATGTATCACATCATTGCGAAAAAGTGTGAATGTAAAGTGAAAAAAACGTCGAAAATATCGGTAATTCTCCAGCTTAGCTACACCAGCATCTTTTGTTTTTTCTTCTGAATCCGAATAGGCACTAGGTTTTAGTTGTAAATGAGATTAGAAATGCAGACGGGCGAAGTCGCAACCATTAGTTCAGACGTCGGGCAAGACAGTCAGTTCACAGGTCAGTTAGATAGCAAAATGTCTGTGGTAGGCATGTTCGATACGATCCGATATTTAGAAGTATCGATACTTTTGTCTCCGATACCCGATATTTTGGATCGATATTTTTATATACGATACTTGGGTGTATCGACACATTTCGCGGGTATTTTTTTGATCAGAGGTGCTGGTTGACCTTGAGTGATAGAAATCTTTTAAAACGTTTTGGTAGCATCTAGCAGATTAAACTTTTATCTGTCCCAAATATAATAGACCCTCGATTTAAACGATTGCACTTCAACAGTCCAATTTCTTGTGCTAATGCAGTCACCTTCCTGAATCAATTATTTCAGTTGCGCAAAAAAGAAATAAATACAGCAAAGACAGGGCAAAATAAAATTAATATTCTTGAAAAATATGACAGTGTTTATGTCTACCATGAAAAACAAGCCCAAAATCATGCAGATAAATATGATGATACCAAATCAGATATTGATCTTGAGCTAAAACTGTATTTCAATAGACCTACTATGCTCATAAACTCGGATCCTTTTTTGTACTGGAATAGCTCAAATTCTGCCTCAAAGGTATTTAAAGAACTGGCTAATAAATATCTCTCTGTTGTTGACACATAGTTCCCTCAGAGAGACTATTTTCTGAAGCCGGAAATATGCCCCTAAACCCGAAACAGATTATCTGGCGATCGAATGTCAAATTATTCTTACATTCGCTGAGTTCTGAAGAATGGTATTTTTAAGATTTCGAACTTCGTGTTATTTGTAGTATTGTTTTTAATACCCTATGTTTATATATTTTATGTTAATAATAAATACATAATCGTTTTGTAATGAATTTATTATTATTTATTTTTTTACCTATTTTTTGTGAACTTATTTGACAATCGTCATGCAGTTGAAAAAAGTGACGTTATTTAGAGGGTTGTAAAAAAGGCAACTTCGATTTTCGGCAGTGTATATATAGTGTATGCTCCGTATCAAAAGGTATCGATACTCATGGGATCGATATTTTTATTCCGATATTTGAATGAATTGATACTCCATTAAACGATAAGAAACGATACTTGGTATCGATATTTTACGTGGATCGGAACATCCCTAGTCTGTGGCGAGCTTTTATGACATATGACTTTTAACTTAACCTGAAAAGTGTTTATTTTGGCGGTTGAAAATATTTTAAAACTTTTTGTAGTCTGTTAGTTTTTTGTGTGAATGTTTCGAGTAGATTTTTTCTTTACATTATCACGTTTACATGTATTAAACTGAGTAGATAACCGAAAGTTCTTGTTATTAATGTGTTGAGTATATTGTATGTTTAGGGCATTCCTCTATTAGTGTTATAATGAATATTAACTGTGTTATCTGCAGTGAGTTTTTTAACGCTTCAGCGGAGGTTTTCGCTACCAAGTGCGGACATGTATTCCACTACCCTTGTCTAATAAATTGGATAGAAAGGTGGAATATTCAAATCCAAAACCGTTTTACATCACCTCTCCCCTTAATTATGAATTTTTGTTTTTAGATCAAAAACATGTCCACAATGCAGGCACAAAACCACAGAACAATCCATACATCGGATTTTCTTCAACATACAAAACATAGATGGAAACAGTGATATGGGAGCAATGCTCAATAAAATAGATAATTTAGAATACCAGAATAGAATGTTAGATAAGGATGTCAAGAACTATAAAGAAAAAAATAGCTCACTCAAAAAGCAAAATGATCTTCTTAGGTAATACCTGTAAAAGTACTTTATTCACCTCCTATGGGCATGTACTTATCAATATTACCAGTACAGATCTATTCATAGACCTACTATTCATCAGAGCAGTCCGGTGGACCTTTGCTCTTAGTTAAAAGTCTCGTCAGTCTGTTAGTCTGTCAGGTCTGGCTACCCAGGCACCAAACATGTTTTAAGGGGAAAAAGGAAAGAAAGGAAGGAAGAAATAGAGCAAAGAAAAGAAGTAAATCATTTGAAATAGCTTAAGCATTATTGCTTTGACTACTCAAATTAATTTGTAACTCCAAAAAATAATTTTGACCGCTTTTGTGTACTGAAATAATTTTGGCAGGTCTTAATTAACAATTTAATTTTGATCACAGTGCGAGGCGCGGCCTGGAATGTTTGCGAACTTGCTCGACTGTGTAGTCTACTGAATCACGCAACAGAATTGTTGCTGTGCGATTCCGCTTGATCATAATGCTGCTGTGCCTGTTGTTTTATTTTACATAATCCCTTAGATATAGAATATCAAGATCTCTGTGAATGGTAGATGTATTCATATTCCATACTTTAAAATTTGGTGAAACTAGTGCTCAGACCAGAGTTTTCGTTTTTTTCAGCAGAAATTGAAAATGCCTAAAAGTCTGGGGTATAATGAAATAACCACTAAGGTCACCAATAAATTATGGAAAAAATAACTATACCATATTTTTCTTTTTTCCTGGTACACATCAGTTAGACTACATTTAGAACATTCCTCATGGGGTACATCAATTCTCTGTCATTGTAGGAGACCAGAGATTGTTGAACTATTCAAAGAAATTGAGTGAATTCTATAAAAAAAATATTACCAATTCTAACTTTTTTGGATAAATTCACCTACATCACTGTTTTTCCATTTCTTTTTTATGTATCTACTACTATGCCTTATTTTACTTTCAGACAAGAAGTAAGGTCTGTAGAAGCAAGCCTGAAAGCATATGAAATGACAATTATCAGCCTAAAAGAACAGATCTCATATTTCAAATCAAAATCTAAAGAATCTGAGAAGCTTACAACTGAAATTGTCAATTTGAAAAACACCATAAAAAATATGGAGAATGCACACATAGCCATAAATGGAACTAGGGACCAAGTTAATGAAATGTTGAGGAATGAGGCAGATGTTGAATCACTTGCCATATATGGTGCCATGCTGAAAAAGTACTACATTTATTTACTACTTTTCTTTTACAATTATTTATATAGGCCAGATCTTGAAATTATTATATTTAGTTTTTCTAGTGGAAGTCCCGTTAAAAGTATAGACCAACTATCCAACTAATACATATCTTTCACAGTTTTTGGTGGATCACAGTAAAACCAAAGAGTAGTTATATCAAGAGAAGACACTTTGTGGAATGCTTGTCAGCCCCACAGACCTTTCAAGTCATCTGCATTATAGTAGGGAAGCCAATTTTTTTTTCATCATTGCATACTGACATGATACAAATGAAATAGTCACAAACAATATTGCTGAGTTTGCTGTTTAGCATCAAAATATGTAAGATTTGTCTAGCTTTCAACATTTCATATCAGTACACCATGTAAACAAAACTTTGTGGGGTTGCCAAGCTGCAAATATTTATGAAATGCTACAATTGTGGGACAGGGGTTTTGGGTCATAGACTAACACTGTGAGCTGATAGCAACTATATTAACGAGTTAAAGAATATATATCTTGTATAGGTTATATATAGATGTGTAGCTTGTAGCGGTTGTCTTCTGGTCATGTTTAGGTCCTACCTGTTATTACTTCCTGACTTACTACGCGGGGTGCGGAGGTTGCCCTTCTTGCCGGCTTCTCACTGCGCGTGTTGACCCGCGCCACGCCGCGCCGGCACGCGCCTCGCGCAGTGTGAAGAGCTTGGCGCGGGCAGGCGCGGCGTGGCGCGACCTATCCGCTAAAAGTCGGTAACTTCAAAGGCGCGGCGCGGCGTGTACCTACCCAGACAGACGAACACGATTGAACTCGTTCATTTCATTTTGACTCGTCCTACGTTGAGGTACTGTGGTGAATATGGAGTGGAATTCGAAAAATGCGGAGCATAAAAACAAAAACGACCAGCATGATGCCTGGCTGCGAATTAAACAGAATTTAAAAGGTGGTACCATACCGTTACAAGAAATTAAAAAGAAAAGGGATTCTTTAATAGGAACCTATAGAAAATTAAGAAGTAAAGTTTGCCAATCAATAAAGTCTGGCAGCGGTGCTGATGAAATCTATAAGCCTGACTGGCCATTTTATAATGTGATGGCCCAATTTTTGAATGATGTGTATACTCCAAAGAAAACGAAGGATTCTGAGGTAAGTACTTTATTTACTTAAAAAATTAATAATTATTTTGCCAGGCAACCGCACCGTTTGTTATAAAATATTCTGCAAGCTGGTCTCTTATATTCTTGGCGGAAAGAGGTGCTCTTCTTGGCCGATTTTGGAGTGGTAGTAGGGAAGCAACTCCATTTTGGTCATCACGCCAAGAACCGGGCTGAATCTCGCCATCATCATTTTCGGTATCAAAGGATCCAGGAGGGGTATATATAAGTCTAGACCTTTTAGACCGTCTCAAAAAATTGTGTAACAATGCACATGTCATCACAATATCAGTTACAATATCTGGTTGTAAAAGCATGGGTTTTCTTAGTACTCTAAACACCGCAGACATAATGCCAAAGACATTTTCAACAATCCGTCGAGCTCGTGAAAGGCGGTAATTAAACACGCGTTCTTTAGATCCCTTATTATGAGTTCCAGCGTAAGGTTTCATCATATTTTCCGTTAGAGCAAATGCACTGTCTGCAACAAATACGTAAGGTAGAGGTGTTACTTTCAGCGGTAAGCAGTCTGGCGGTGGAAAACCCAATTCCTTTCTACAGATTTGTTTATATAAGTTGGTGTTTCTGTATACACCACCATCGCTTATTCGGCCCTGGCACCCACAATCCACAAAAATAAAATTGTAATCCGCGTCGACTAAAGCCATTAATACAACACTGAATGTTTTGTGATAGTTGATAAACTCAGATCCACTATGAATAGGACTTTGTATTAGCACATGTTTTCCGTCGATAGCTCCTAAGCAGTGAGGAAAATTCCAAGTTCTGCGGAATCCTTTCTCTATCCTTAACCAGTCAGATGATGTCCGTGGCAGCTAAAACAAATAGAAATATTGTAAATTATCATGAATATTTCTTATTTTTAGGTCACTGACGACATAGAAGAAATAGAAGATAACCGTGATTTAGATGCCTCTGAAGATAGTAAACAGGATGATGAAGAATCAGTTCAATTTAAAAGACCAAAACCTCTTCCTAGAAAACGTGCTAAAAATATTGATATAGAAAATAAAATGAACGAAGCATACGACTATATAAAACAAATGACTCAAAAACCCCAAATCCCGCAAGATGAATGTTCATTATACACACAATTATTGTGCAAAAAATTGAGAGGCTTACCAGAAAATACACGTGAAATAGCGATGTTGGAAATTGATAGATTGATTTTCAATCTGAAGCAAAAAGAACTATCGTCAAACCCACATGCACAAATACTAATCAACCCACCACAGCCCACGAATTTTGGACATTCCGGCAATCTCTACTATCAGCCATCCACATCCTACCATCCATATCCTTCTCCACAGCAATCCCCAACCTATCATCCATCGCCTTCTTCACAGTCATCCCCAAACTATCATCCATCGCCTTCTCCACAGCAATCCCCAACCTATCATCCATCGCCTTCTTCACAGTCATCCCCAAACTATCATCCATCGCCTTCTCCACAGCCATCCCCAACCTATCATCCATCGCCTTCTTCACAGCCATCCCCAACCTATCATTCATTATCTTCTCCACAGCCATCCCCAAACTATCCATCTCCACAGCTGTCGCAAGTCGAAACATCAGCTTCGCAAAGTCTATTAAAAGATTTCTATGAAGAGGAGGGTAGTAATTTAGTTTAAATGGATGATGTCAATTTCTATTTGTTTACGATTTGAAAAAAATAAATGCTTAATTCTACTACTTACTTTTATTTCTTGTGATAGTTCTTTTATCAATGCTTTACAAACGTCCGTGACACAACTTGAAACTGTTTGGATAGATACTTTGAAAAGATATGAAAGGCTTGTGTAACTATCTCCGGTTGCTAAAAATCTGAGAGCAATTGCAAACCGTTCTTGTACTGGAATACATTTTCTCATATGGGTATCTTGTTTTGCAATGATAGGGCCTATTTTATTCATTAGATAGTTGTAATCTTCTGGTGCCATTCTACAGAAGTTCTCAAATTTTCTGCTCGGTTCTTTAACAAAATCCGATAGCATATCTGATCCATTGTATCTGAAACAAAAATACAATAATTTTTACTAAATTTTCCGGCAGCAAAGTTTCATTTTAAAACGCGCCAAACTTACCAATAGATACCATCAAATATATTGATAGGATTCTTAAAAATTACGTACCTATGTAATTATCTCAAAATACAAACAATGATTACCTTGACCGGCTCTTATTGAACGTTGACATCCACCAGCGTCTCCTCTTCTTGTTTTTGTTAATTTTATTAAGTAAACGATATCCACAAAATAAGACAAAAACGGCTGATGCAACAGCCATGCCTTCTTCTTCAGTGGCATTGCTCCATGGCTGGAGGTGGCAATTCGACTCACAAGACATAGTGCGCTGCGCTAAACAGACTGAATCAAACTGAGGTGTAAAGCCAGAAGGCACGCGCCGCGCCGCGCCGCACAAACGGGTGGCGCGGCGTGTCGCGTGGCGTGTTCTTGCGCGTGGAGCGGCGCGACGCGTAGTAGCACGCGTAGTGAGAAGCCACCATTAGCTGTTCCAGAACGTGCCGGTACAGGCGGTGCAGCGCGCGGGTGCGCCTCTTCTCCGTGGGGAGCAGCGTCGTGCGGTTGGGGTTGCTTCGCGGGTTCCCACTCATTTATACTAAGAATGGGGTTCAACTGTTTTGGTGGTTGCGTCAGAAAGTCATACATAATAAATAAACATCTCAAGGCCATGCTGTCTAGCGATAACTTGCGATCATGTTAATAGACTGCTTATTGGTCAAATAGGCAATTTAAGGTTAGAAAACTTTTGAATTTCAAGTAGTAACTTACCTTTCAAGCGTAATTTATAATTTTATTGAATGAAAAGTATATTTCGTAGATTACAAATGGACGATAATAAATATCCTCACCATGAATACACATCCAAACGTAAAAGTAAATTTGAACAAAAAATGTGTTCACTACAAGTGATGGTCTATGAATGCATTCAAAAAGGATTATTTATCCGGTAATAACGCATTTATTTCCGACTAAATGAGAACAGCCATCAGTTGTTTTGTGGACGCCATGTTTTCGGAGTCATCTCTGATCTCTCTGTAATTTTATACACCTTTTCTTTATATCAGGGGTTCTCAAAGTGTGTGCCTCGGCGCCCTTGGGCGCCGTAGGAAGTAAAGAGGGGCGCCGTGAGTCGATCCTCTATCATTATCCGAAACCACAAATATACGCGGGTACCTCTTTGAGTGTTCGCATCGGTAAAGAACATAGCGTCGTAAATTTCTTTTTCGACCATAATGACACACAAGAGATTTTAAATTTGCAACAACTATAGGTACCTAATGTCGCACGTGTTGCCGCGTCGCTCACTCGCCAAAGTACCTACGCACTTGAAAACCGTTGATACCCTACCCCCAACCCCTCCCACGTCTTTACCAGCCCGCGCTCGCTTGCTCGTAGTCGCAATGCCCGTTTATTTACCTACAAGCGCGCCGTGCGACGGACGTGTCATCGTAATTTGTATCGCTTTATTTTTCGTCGAATATCTCCCGCAAAATGGACAGATTTTTATTAAATAAACAAGTCGATAGTTCAAATGATAGTAATAAAGCGTCTACTAGTGGCGGCGGGGCAGCAAAGAAGCGGAAATATCGTAAATACGATGACAGATATTTGGACTTTGGTTTTACTTCAGTAGAAGTAAACAATGAAGAAAAACCGCATTGTGTGCTTTGTTTGAAAATACTATCATCCGAAAGTATGCTTCTACAGGGTTTGTCCGGAAAGTAATAGGACTGAGTCGATTTAAAAAAAATTATTGAGCTCATCGTTACAATTCTTTAAAAACTGTCAAAATAGGGTCCTTCT